TCTGAATCTATGCAGAGGCACCCCAGGAGGCCTGGTGATCTACTTCGGAAAAACCTTGTGGCCTCAGTTCTACTCTGATCCACATGGGGTCACCATAAGCGGACTATCAACAGTGACTGTGGCCCAGCCCCACACCTCAAATGAGCATGTTTCCAGTGAACAGTCCTTTCTGTTTCCTGGTGCAAGAAAACAATTTGTCACTAAGCATTGTGCATCTACCTGCCAGGAACTGTTAGTGACTAACCTGGGCCTTTGACAAAAATGTCTTAGCCTAATTCTGGAGCCTTCCAATCAAACAAGGTTTCCTAGGTGCACGGCCAGGCCAGCTAAACTCAAGGCACAGAGGTCAGCTCAGAAAGTTACGGTGACTATTTCTTGGGATTTCAATGAGTAATACTGAAAAATTTTTCAAAAGGGCAACAGATAACTTGGAGGTTATTTATTTTAAAATCATTTTATTGGGGAGTTCGTACAACTCTCATCACAATCCATACATCCATCGTGTCCAGAACATTTGTGCATTCGTTGCCATCATCATTCTCAAAACATTTGCTTTCTACTTGAGCCCTTGCTATCAGCTCCTTTGTTCCCTTCCCTCCACGTACCCCTCCCTCACGAACCCTTGACAATTTATACATTATTTTTCCCATGTCTTACACTGTGCTACGTCTCCCTTCACCCACTTTTCTGTTGTCCATCCCCCAGGAAAGGAGTTATATGTAGATCCTGGTGATCTACATATAAGGTTCCCCCTTTCTACTCCACCCTCCTGGTATTGACACTCTCACCACTGGTCCTGAAGGGATCGTCTGTCCTGGATTCCCTGTGTTTCCAGTTCCTATCTGTACCAGTGCACATCCTCTGGTCTAGCCAGATTTGTAAGGTAGAATTGGGATCATGATAGTTGGGGGGATGGGGGAAGCATTTAGGAAATAGAGGAAAGTTGTGTGTTTCATCGTTGCTACACTGTACCCTGACTGGCTCATCAACTCCCCGAGACCATTCTGTAGGGGGATGTCCAGTTGCCTACAGATGGGCTTTGGGTCCCCACTCTGCACTCCTCCTCATTGACAATGAAATGATTTTTTGTTGTTGTTCTTTGATACCTGACCCCATCGACACTTTATGATCACACAGGCTGGTGTGCTCCTTACATGTGGGCTTTGTTGCTTCTCAGCTAGATGGCCGCTTATTTACCTTCGAGCCTTTAAGACCCCAGACGCTATTGATAGCCGGGCACCATCAGCTTTCTTCACCACATGTGCTTATAGACCCGCTTTGTCTTCAGTCACTTCGTGAAGATGAGTATCATGCATTTGTTTGTTAACGCTACCCAATTGTGGTATTGCCGTTAACACACATCAGATAACTAAGAAACAGGGTCTATTAGTAAGAGCTCTGCTGGCACTTGGAATGGAATGATGTATTTGTATAGCTGTCCCTTTCATTATGAAACAAGGACCTTTCCTAGTCCCTGGGACAGCCCACTCCACATATTTTCCTGCGCGCAATTCTGCTGAGATTACAGAGCTTGATAAACCCCGTCTCCTGGGGTCAGGTTTGGGGATGACCACCACTTGCAGTCCTGCAAGTGTTCACCCCGCACCCTCCATCTAACCTCTGAGCATTCTCTGCTCCCCACCATGCACATTGTGACCGACTAACAGAAGACTGGTGATACGGCGCGGCTTGTTCAAACTCACGTCAGGTTCTCACAGGTGGCTCAATCAAAGTCAAAATCAGAATAGTCTCTGCTCCCTCAAGGTGTGTAACATACCAACATAAAGGAACTTTTGTTTAGGAATAACTTAAACAGCACAAGTAAGAAAAACTGAGAAATGTTAGAGCTTCTGGTTAATCTCTCCTGCAGTTAAAGATGACCTTTATGAGAGTGACAAAGTAAATCCATTACATTATTTTTCAAAATCGCCTTACATAGCAGGTGTTCATATTTTATGGATGAGAAGATTAAAACAATATATACTAGATAAATAGACCTAATAATCGATAATAGCAGAGCTGGGATTCTATCTCAAATTTATCTCTTCTTTAGCGGAAGAAGCAATCAGATCAGCATTCTGCTGGCCTGGTCCCCTAACATGCCTAGCCGAGCACAGGCTTCAGACAAGGTCTTCACGGTCTCCGCAGTTATAGATTTGCACACACAAGTACACTTTCTAGAAGTTTAAGTATAAAACGCCACTACCTTCCCACACCACCTGGATATACAGGGAAGCAGCGCGTCCGTCCGTTAGACAAGAACATTAGGACGTCGGCTGGGCGGGGGTCAGACCAGGGCCTACCTGTTTAAGTGCGTTCCGGGCAATCGTCTGAAAGGCCTGCTCCACGTTGATGGCTTCCTTTGCACTAGTCTCAAAGTAGGGGATGTTGTTTTTACTGTAGCACCAGGCCTGTGCTCGCTTTGTGGCAACCTGGAAGAGGAAGCAAGGCCTATGAATGCTCACCACAGGAGCAACAGCACTGACTCCTTCACAGCAAGGGCCAGCACTTCTAGACTACACACGGCACAGGTTGAGAAGGGAGGCTTAGGGGAGGTAGGTGTGTAGAGGCTTGGGGAGAGACTTGCACAATTGTCCAGACTCCCTGCTGGCTCTTAGGAAGCTCCACCTATGCGCCTGTGTTCCAGGGTTCACTCATCTAATCCCAGAGTGCCGTGTAACCCAACAGTGAAGGCTCAAACTCTACAAGCTTTCACCAAGCAGGAACCAGGCTTTCCAATAAATCTGCCTTGAAATACTGGCAGCCAATCGCATAGCACAGCATTGCCTAAATCAAATCATCCCACTGGGGCAGTGAGGGGCCAGCAAGCGCAGGAAACTCAACAGAATAAATCCAGTATTTTATTAACACGATTTCAAAGGGGCTTTCACCATTCTGTTTTATGTACAGGATGGCATGCCTGCATTAGGTTAGGGAGCAAAGATCTATTTCAATGACTATGTAGGCAACTAGTTAGCTGGTCTTTCTAATCTAAGTGTTGGCTGACCACTCATTCTCCCCATTACACCGCCATGGGAGCATAAACACACACAGGCATACGATACTTTTTTCCTAAGGGTGTTTGTCCTTAAGACAGGTGACTTTTTACCAATCAAAGTTAAAAACATCTACCACCCCCAAAAGAGCCCCCTTAAAAGGTCTTTGCAGTAGCAACCGCCTCCAGGAAGGCAGATTCTTAGGCCTTTGCATTGTTCATGATTTCCACTATTGTTAACACTTACTTGTCTGTTTTCAAGGTCAATCTTGTTTCCCAACACAACAAAGGGGAAGTTTTCAGGATCCCGGGGACTGGCTTGGATGAGAAACTCATCTCTCCAGCTGTCCAGGGTTTTGAATGTGTTGGGGGCAGTCACATCAAACACCAGAACGCAGCAGTCTGCGCCTCTGTAGAAGGCCACTCCGAGAGACTGGAACCTCTCCTGGCCTGCTGTGTCCCAGATCTGCAAGAGACAAAATGTTTATCTTCAGAGCGTGTGGAAAAGGCACCATAGAAGGAGAGACCCTGGAGACAGGGAAGTGGCAGAAAAGAAAGGGACTGGAAATGGGGCCTCTAAGGATTCAGAATTCAGGGACCAGCCTTGACAAACTGTGTGTGTATATAAAAGAGAGCCAATGATTGGGAAGAGACACATAAGAACCCTTTTGTGGGTGCAAGAAATAGTAATCTAGGCACATAAGTATGTACAATTCAAGCTGGAAACTTAAGATTTGTGTGCTCTAGATCTTTTTTGGGGGGATGGAAATATGAGTTAATTATTCATTGAACTGTACATTCTAATCTCTGCATTTCACGCTATGTAAATTTTACCTTAAAAAGAAAAAAAGTGTATTTAAACCAGACCTAAATTAAAAAACAATGTTGGCAGATAGGTCAATAGAAAGAAAGAGATTATACATTGTGAAAGTTTTAATTAGGAACAGACAAGGCTGGCTTTTCTTTCTGCCCTAAGTCTCCCCTTATACGCCACTCTTGTTAGCACCCAAAGGTGACAAGCCTTCTCTTAAAGCACTGGTTAAGACAGTGACAGGTGCCACACAGTGAATGGTCACTGAGGAAACGGCTCTTTATGAAATGAGACTGGATCCTTCTCAAACCTAATTAACTTTTCTTTTAGACCCAAATCACCAGCCAACTGCCTCAAAGGCCAGACGTTTGCACCCAAATAAATGGGTCACTAGTTACAGGGTTGTATCCTCTCACCACACTTTCTCAAACTGTATGCTCAGCAAATAATCTGAAAAACTGGCTGACATGAAGAAGAACGTGGTATCAGGATCGGAGGAATGCTTATTAAAACAACCTGCACTTGCTGAATGTCAGGAGCACTTGAGTACTTGCTGATAGAGATCAAGGGCTGCCACCTTCAACATGCATTACAATTACAGCCAACAGAAATTGTGAGACCTGGACTAGTAAGACTGAAGTTGTCCAAGATTTTCTCTGGCTTAGATCTAAAACCAATGCTCATGGGAGCAGCAGTCGAGATCCAAGGATGCACTGCAGTGGTTAAATCTGCTGCAAAGACCTCTTTAAAGTGTTCGAGATCAAGATGTCACCTTTGCTATTGAAATAGAGCCTATGCATGTGAAAGTGAACACTGCATAAGGAAGACTGGAGAAGCCTGGTGCTGCTGGAGAATGTTTAAAGCAGCAACTGCCAAAAGAACAAACATTCCTTTTGGAAGGAGTACAGCCAGAAGCTCTTTGGAAACAGGGATGGCAACAGCTTTGTCTCATGTACTTTGGACATGTTATCAGGAGAGACCAGTCCCTGGAAAAGGGCATCATGCTAGGTAAACAGGAAGGGCAGCAAAAAAAGAGGAAGCCCCTCAAGGAGATGGACTGACACAGTGGCCTGAACAATAGGCTCAAACACAACAATCCTGAGGATGGGACAGGACAAGCAGTGTCTTGTGTGATATACAACCCCCTAAACTGTCCCACAACAAGAAAGCAGTTAAGTAAGTTTACAAATACAACCTAAATTTAGGCTTGAATAAAATAAAGATGAAAGCGTCTATTAGAGAAGTAACATTGTTAGTAGAGTGTTATTAGTCTAAGAAATAACTACAGCAAAAGCAAAGGGAAAACCCTTGACTTTTCAAAGTCAGTCAATCTGATAGAGTACGTATTTAATAACTTCATTATTACAAGGAAACACTTTTAAAAGGTGGTTTCACACCCAAAGAAAATGCTCTAAAGAGTGTGAGAGACCAGGGACAAGGGAGGAACAAGTCATTATGGAGGGAGGGAGAAAGGGGGACCCCATTTATGGGAAGTTTAATGGGATACTATTATTGATTTCCTTTGATGAGCTGAGCAGGGCAACTACACACAGTATGCTTTTCTTCTTATTTTTTTTTTTTCAGTATGCTTTTCTTAAAGATATATAAATAAATTTAAAATTAAAGAGAGAAGGCTCACAGCCTTACAAACTCCGCCTCCACCCCCCAAATTCCTAACCCACCCCTTGGGTCTAAACATCAGTCTGAATGGCTAAAAAGAGAAATGTTAAAACTGAAGTGGACTTGGATTCATTAGTGACATACAAGTTCATTTCAAACATACGGGGAAGGGGTAGGAGGGAGGCAAAACCCCTACTATCTCTGGCTTCTGACTGTTTACAAACTAAGCCTTGATGAAGCTGAAATCTTAGCCTGCACATCATGGTACAACCTCTTTTCCACGGCACTGTTCTCTCCCACAAACTCACATCACGGCACTATTTTCCACACAGGTCCCAACAAACTAAGAAAACACAGTGAGCCAACCCAAAGGCTTGTTTATTTTATAATATTGGTGACATTTCCTACAATTGTAAACAACCCATTAATGGAGATTTATATAGATCTTTCTGTGTTTCAGATTGCTTCTTTAAGATAGAATTGCAACATGTGCTTAAGAATTCCCCTATGTTGTTCTTATGTGAAAACAAATATATATTTTGAACTCAAGGAGGCAGAAAAAACTCCCCACATCATTGACATTAAATCAATTCTGACCAACAGCAACCCTCGAAGATGGGGTAGAATTGCCCCTTACGGTTCTGGTGCTATAACTCGTCACCAGTAGAAAGCCTTATTTTTCTACCAAGGAGTCGCTGGGGGTTTCAGAAGCCTGACATGTAACCCACTGTGGTACCAGGACTTCAAAGAAGGCAAAGTAAAGAATAATAAAGAAAAACTGATCCTGGCCCACCAGGCCTTGAGGCCGATGATCCCGATTAGAGTAGCCAGTCAACAGAGAGGACCACATGACCAGGCCCCACTATGAGACGTGACGCCCCTCACTGACCCATAGCCCTACAGGGAACACCACCATAGACACAGTGTAGGATTTGCACCCTATCTGACCCAGCCACACCGAGGCAAAACACTACGGGGGTGTGACAGAACAGCAAGAGAATGGAGCGGTGAGGTCCCCAGGGAATGCTGAAGGTGGACTTTGGGGCCAGGGCGTGGTGCCCCAACAAACTGGACTGGAAAACACTCCTAAAGGCCAACAAACGATCCTTGAACTAACTACAAGTTTTTCTTTCTTGTTGTGTTTTGATTTGTTGTCAGTGGTTTGTTGTTGTTGCTGTTTTGTTGTATATTGTTGCTTGGTTTTGCTCTGTCTTGTTTTTGTGCATGTTATTATCTCTGCAGGTCTGTCTAAATAAGATAGGCTGGATGAACAATCT